CAGGAGAATGCTAGGAAATTATTAAGAAAAATCTTGGGAATATTAGGGGAATGCTGAGCGAATATTAGAGGTATACTAAGAAAATACAAAAGGCACACTGGGGTACTGCTAGGGACAGAATTACTAGGATAAACTAGGGGAATACTGAAGGCATTCTAAGGATCTTTTAGGGGGATACTAAGGGAATAGCACTGATTGCCAGAAAGCGGGGAAGGGGAAAAATACTTGGAGTGGGTGGCCTTCTCCAAACGGCCAAAGACCGCAGGTGCATCCATCTATGCCAAGGTGTTGAAATCATAGGCAGGGATGGTTGGTAAGGAAACAGCAGCCACCGTTCAAGAAATGCCAGGCTGTTCTAAAAATACTTTGCAGGTTAGAACTTGTAATATTGAAAATGAACTGAGTTACACGCGTGATCCCGAGAAAAGAAACCATAATATGAAAACTGTTGATGCTACGGTGAAAAACGAATTTACACATTGAACCACGACTTAAACAAAAGCAACTAATTCAAAACTACCCACTATAAGAGCACACACTGATTACTACAAATTGAAGACAAGAACCGGCACATTACAACATGAGTAAAAGTAAAGACGGTATACTTAAACATGAAGCTAATGATAATGTACAAGAAGTATATTTCGCGCCTGAAGACCATAATTTGGCAGAACTACCGCGCCAGTTGCTGAATAGTGGGTATGAAAAAGTACTGGTAGTATTGATGAAATTAGAACAAAATTGAAGAAAACTGCATATATCATAAAAACTCAAAATTTAACCAAACCCTCCAGTGACGGATGGATAGCAGTTGGCAATGAAGCTACATACAGCAATATGAATACAGCAATGCTTAATCTTAATAAACCTTTATCCATTCCAACTCATAAGCCCTCTTAGAATGACATTGACATTAACATGTTGAATGCAGCAAAAACTATAGCGCCGTCTTGGATTTTTATGGAGCACTATTTGATTTAGTGAATAAACCTGAAAATGATGAAAACACGGCATTTAAGGGTCTATTGAATACTAATGGAATACCAGTGTTTAACAAGCTTGACCATTGGAAAGAATACATTGGTGGAATTCAAATGGATGAACTTCACGATTACCTTTAAATGACGTTGAAGCCGAATCTACAAATACAAGACCATTAAACAGCAATGGGTAGCATTAGAGAACTAGTAAAGAAAAATGAAACAAAGGAGATGATAAAGAGTATAGCATATACAGAAGGTATTGACGTTGCTACTTAAATAGAAGTTCATAACGCACCTAATTTACACTTCTTTGTCTAGAACCCTGATGAATGAAAGCAAGCAGTTAAAGACGTTGTATTCAGTGGTAATCATTGCCTATGCTTCAACAAAAACTTCTAATATGTGGCAAGTTTTTAAGGAATTCACCACTGAGAACAATCCCAATAAAACCTAAGTTCATATTATAAACAAGCTTCATTTATTCACAAGGTCCCATGTACAGATACTATGAACGAACTCTTACAAACTACTATAGGTGAAAAGGGCGAAGGATTAGATAAACTTTAGAAAGTTAATAGCAAATATAATTTCGGGTTGATTGAAGAAGGAGGCGCTACCGCTCATCAAAGCATGTTACTTAAAAGTGTTGATGAAGCAGTCCAGTATCCGAAGGAAGCTGTTTAGTCAAGAATGAAGCAACTCGGACCACGAGGATGGTCCAAGCACCAGGGGCAAGCAGACCAAACCCCCAAGAGAACCTCAGACCGGCTTGGGGGTGGAACGCAAGCCAAACGCAGAAGCAGAACAAACGCAAGAGACAAAGACACTTCAAAAGCATACGCGTCACATTGAGCCGGAACAGGAAATGACCCGACTCGGCAGCCACCGCAGAACAAGCCAGGGTGTTCCAAAACAACAGCCGAACCTTGAGAACAAAATACGGAGGCAAAATTCATAAAGTGACACATAGAGAAAGTGAAGAAGATAATGAAGAAGAAGGAGATATAAAAGCGTCATGTTATAGGTTAAACTCAACGGATAAATGTTGAAAAGGCAAAGCAACTGTTAGAATTCATAATGATTTAGGAGGCTGGAAAGCTTCAAAGCAAGGTGAAGAAATCAATTCACCTACCATAGAATATGGAGCTGCAAAGAATGAACTACTACAAACACCAGCTTATGAAAGCAAAACTATTGGTATTGTAGATGAATATGACGCTGACAGTAAAACTATAGAATCTACTAGGCAGAATAACCCAAAGATGAGAAGGGGAGAACTACCGGGCATAGAAAAATCACAAACATGCCATTTTTGGCTGATAGACATTAGAGCATAATTTCTGTTTGTCCTACTAAACACAAGCATTTGAAGGCGAAGCAATGACAATAAATAAACTCTTTGGTGCTAATTACGGCGACGCTATATTAGAACCGTTTGGTTTTGCAGACTATGATGCGGGGGTATTTGATGAAGTCCTTTTAGTAATCTAAGCACATACTGGAGAATAAAACAATTTGTAGAACAGCGCAAGCACAACATTTTTTTTATAAAACAGGAGACATCAAGCAATGCAAGGCAGTTCAAGAAATAAAAATACCCAAGACTATGAGTTACACACTGGCAAGAATTAGACAATATTATCAAGCATGCTATTTTACTAGGAGAACGTAGAAGACTTAGCACGCAGGAAGATAAAGCTAAACTGAACAATATCAAATATGATATTTTCTCCCAACAGCTGAAAGCTTTGGGGTCTCAGCCTAGATAGGAGGTAAGGTTCCACAAGCGTTCTACTAGGGGCAGGGTTCCACCCGTTTCATCAGGGCTTGACCGGGGTTCCACGAAGGCTCTGGAAAGAGCACCGCATGCTGTTGGGGATACCACCTGAGCTTCTTTATGAACAAATTACCGATGAAGAAAGATATTGAACATATTTAGAGTATACACCTGACATAAGCAATTCTAACAACTACATACAACGTGTAAACATGTATGAAACGAAATTAGAAATTAGAAGATAGACAGCGCTGCACGAACTGACTATGCCGTTGTAATTGTAATTGAAAATAATTGTTTTAAACAAATTCTTGTACAAACTGTGTTTAAAGAAGTGTCTTGAACATATATATCATTAGAACAAATGCTATTCAACTATAATAGTTGTAAAGTTGTAAAGCCGAAAGGAATGCTGCTAAATTAATTGTAATACACACACTAGCTGCTGAATTGTATAACAAAGTTGGTGGGTACTGCCCATATTGTCTAAAACAATTTAGTATGACATCCCAAGAAACAAGTTTTAAATAAAATGCAGGCACTATATGGTGAAGGCCTGTGCACGTTTGAACATCAGCTAAGGTAGTTTCAAAGCATAATACAAAACCCAAACTGGAAAAACACAAAAAATGTTTGACGCAGACAATGTTCAGAAATCAGTTTTAGACAAACAGCGTCGGTCAACGGTGAAACCAGTTGCTAAAAAGGACTTGCTACTCATTCACTTGTTGCTCACAGATGTATGTAACAAACGAAAGGTTGTTGCAAATTATAATCTTGATTATTTGACGAGACCTTGCAGGATTAGAAACAGCATTTGTTTTCCAATCAACTTACTTTCTGAAAACATACCTTTTTGCATTGCTCGGCGATGATACTTGCTATGTGAATGAAAAAGATGTTGATGACTATATGATTGAAATATTTGGATATTGAATCAACCTGGCCTTGCCGATCTTTTCCATACGCAATATTTCCCGAGAATTGGTTCATAAACTGAACAATTAAAAGTTCATGCGGGGAACCTTGCCTATAATATTTCTTACAAAATGTATGTTATTTTCTATTTTATCGTATTTTTGGAAAGTGCAAGAATTGAAAACTTTATAAAAATGTTTATTAAAAATTGTGATTTTCTCGATTCTTTTGTATCAATATTTTGACTTTTAAAACATGCATCGCTTTCTATAAAAAAAAATGTTGGATGAACTAACTAGGAAGATACCTCTATTGCAATGTTGATTCTAAAAAATGTGCTGTTTTAAGGCGCAACTTTTTTGCAGTTTCGCACGGGCAGTTCTGCGCTCGTGAGTAGAAGGTTGCCAAGTTCTCAAAGTTGACATTGCGATTTGGGAGGATTCAGCAAGGCAACCACTCCAACCTGCTTCCGCTCGGGCCATCTTGTTTCGTTTGCTGCGCTGGGCTCCTTACATGTCCCCCTCGAATATCACCCGGCCAACATGAGACCCAACATTGGCGCATGATTTTATGAAGTCAGCTCCAAAAACAGTCAACGCAAGGAAGGCAACACCTCTTTCCAGGTGTTACCTCCTCCTGTGTAAGTATAGATCAATGGTCTCTTAGTTCAAGCTAGGGATGGGACTTTTTGCGGGCCACTCTAGACACGATATCAGCAAGAATGCGTTGTCAGCCAACGAACTAGCGCCACACCGGCCGGCTGAGCGGCCAGTCTCGGGTGGAATCGAGCCCGTGGCCTCCTAGCTTCAGAGCTGCAGCGCCTCTTCCAATTGAGCTATGGATCCTTGCTACACTTGGATTTATTCACAGGAGAGGCGCTCGCCGGGCTGGAGGTGGAAAGATCCGTCTCGGGGATTTCTTGTTCCCAGGAGAGGCGCTCACCGGGCTGGAGGCTGAAAGATCCAAATTATTCTCACAACTCAGTCTCCGGCAATTCGCTTGCCAAAGCCTCATAGACATGCCGAGTTTGGGTGGATTTGCTCAACTCGCCGATGCGCTGCTTCTCAAACGGCTTCACCAACGCGAGGTGGTAACCAGAAGAAAGACCTCCGGAAAGACTGCGGGAAGACCTCGGCGCGGTAGCACCCTGAGCACTTTGTTGCACCCGCGCCTGGCCGGAATTCTGAGTCTCACCTGGCCGGAAGTTAGAACCCCTATAGCTTTCAGCTGTCTGGGGATCAACGAGCAAGAGCACTTTGAAGGGGAGCTGAAATTTCTTGACTTGCGCAGCCACGGGCAAAACGAGAACGGCTCACCCCCGCCTGAGCGGGTCGTGAGGTAGAGGTTTCCGCCAAGTTTCCGCGCCAGCGCGCCAAAGGAGCAACCTGCTGGAAAGCCATCACATGGTGGAATGCGGAAGGTTCCAACACAAACAAGGTTCCTTGACAGGAACTAACAAAACGAGCCCTCACAAACGCGTTCCAAAAAGGCAACGTAGTGGTTCGATTTGGGTAGCCCCCTTGGTACTGGACATGGGAACTTCAGTCCATGTCTTCCCAAAACCATTGACGAGCCGCGACTGCCAACCTGCGACAGATCAGACCGTCACGGAGCTTCGGTACCCAGAGTTCATCGTGGGTGTCCTTCTGGAAAAGCAAATAGAAGTCACGGAGCAAAAAGGGAAACTTGGAGCGCGACTGCCAATTCTAAACCCACGCCCAACCACTCCAAGGCCTGGAAATCAACACCCGGCTTGCCTCTGGCCTTGGGGATCCCATGCCTTGGGCTTGGCGCCCATCACGCATTCCGTGCCTTGCCGGGAATGCACTGCGGGCTGACTTTCGTACAAAGCTGTTGCACTTTGAAACGGCAAGCAAAAATTCGACGCAGGCAGAGGAAAAGGGAACAACTCGGAAGGTGCTATTTTCTCCCCCACGAAGGGTCCACCCAAAGGCCGTTGGGCCTCGATGATGTCCAAGTGATGATTGATGGATATCAACATGACACAGAAACCTCGATGTGTCATTTCCATTCGCCCATTTCCGTTGGCACAACCCTGTCTAGTAATCAGCCACCCTGGGTTTCTGCAACTGCCTTGGGGTTATCAAGAACGGAACGGAACCGCGTGCAGAAATAGGCGTGTCTCAACATGGGAACCTTAGAAGATGACTTCCCTTTGAAGAAAGTCCGAAACAGGTATTCTGAAAAAAAAGAGGCCCAGAACCCCTCCTTGATCTGCCACCAGCAGCGTGCACCCAGATCCAGAGCGGGCGCCTTGCTTGGCAGACCTCCAGCACGCAAAAACTTGGAACATCCCCGAACTTAGGGGGCACCCTGGGAGGCAATTTCTGCCTTGCAGTTCAAACATCTTATGACAAGAAACACTTTTGCTCCCTAGGTAGCGACGAATAACCTTTGCTTTGTAAGCTACAGGCACATGGAGCGAAGAACGGCTCACCGTGAAATGTGTCAGGATTATTCTGCCAGAACGCTGGAGCATCGAGCTGCCACGGTTCCCTGACGATAGAAGTCCAATTCTTGGATTGCATCGGTCGCGTCAAATCTGCTGGGTCGAGATAGTGTGGCATGATTGTTGACGCTACCTTTCAGTCAAACACATCCGAACCCCTGGCGGTTGCAGCAGCAGCAAACCATCTCCCTAGCACTTAGCTTGGATCGACGCTTCAAACTCCACAACCGGGACTGGACATGCCGCGATCGCATCGTTGTTTGCTGGCACACAAACGCAGTCCCTCCAAGCAAGCAGCACAAGCGGACTTCTTTCGCTTTGAAACGGCAGCAAAAGAAAACCGAAAACCTAGTCCTCTTGGAAAACAACCGTGATTCCGCCTTTTGACCCGCAAAAGCAGGCAGCGCGTGCGGAAATCGTACACGAGCAGGTCATATAGAAAAACAACAAGGATGAGCGCCAGCGGCGTCAGTGTGTGCGCCGGTGCCGGCGCCGGCGCCGGCGGGCGGCGCCGGTGCCAGTGCCGGTGGGCGGCGCCGGCGCTGGTGGGCCGCTGCCGGCGCCGGCACTTAGCGCCGGAGAAAAAACAACCATTGCGCCAGGGCGTCATCTTTCCAGTCAGAGACAAACCCTTGACGTCAAGAAAGACCTTAATTTGTCGCTTTCGCAAGGATCTCGTGGAGTCTCTCAACCCTTTGTCGGGCAGTTTCGCACTTTTGTTTTCGCCGCGAAAGCTTGCTGCGAGACCATTTGAAGATGCTTTCTCTTCAGGGCAGATGCAAAGTCAAGCCAGGTTTTGTGAAGATCTCACCAGTACTGCCCTCACCATATCAAGTTCCCGAAGTTCAGGTGTCTGTTCCACTTGTGTTGAATTCGGACTCTGCCCTGATGAGCAACCCACAACGATGCACGGCATGGGGATTCTCGCGGGTAACAAACATCGGCGGTTGACTCCAAATGGCAGCCGCGACGGAGCCCAAAACAAGACACGCCCTCAAAGTCTGTGTCGCACATGGCGAGTCCATTCGCGAGGCCCGCGCATCGAAGTTTGCGGGAGGCACACATCCTGCAGCTCTTCCTTGATGGCACGGGAACAAGCTAGAAGCCTAGGTGTCCTTTTGAAAAACCGACAGCCCTGGCAAATGATTAGAAGCAAACAGACATCTTTGCCTGGAAGTCATGCGCAAAAGCTTTTGCGCAGCGAGTTCCTCATACTTGCCCAAACGTTTGTAGGTTTGCTCCTGGCCTTTTTAGAACGAGTTTAAGATGGTTTGGGGGTTTAGGGACGGTGTTAGTTTAGGGTCGGTTTGGGTTTGGGCGGGAGTTCTGTGTTTTCAGAGAGACTGAACCTCATGCAAACTCATTTGCGCAGAAACGCTTTCGAACAGTTCCGCTTGCAGCCGAAGACCATTGCGGGAGATCAAGTTTTCATGACGGAGGCCCTGGAACTTCGATATCTTTGGGGCTGAACACACCCTGCGGACAGAGCAGAAACACAAGTCAGCCTCACGTTCGCTGAACTCCATCAAGTAGCATCTCTCATATTGATCATCTACAGACATTTAGCCAAGGCTGCAGCAACTGTTCAAAATCAGATAGTCCCTATTGGAGGAATAGCACTACCCAAGCTTGCGTTCGACTTGATGTTGCAACACCAACACAACTGACTGTTGCAAGGCTAGAAAAAGAACTGCCTGCAGCACAAGTACAAAACAAGCCTTTCAAGCAAGAAGCCAGACAACCAGAAGATACCAGGCGAGATTTTGCGCATGAGCTTCAGGACGTTCATATTGGTGACGAGGAATTCTATTGCCAAAAGGAGAAAGGACAAAGCCAAGATTCGTTCAGATGGGAGCAAGGGTGGCATATAGTTGAAGGGCGAAAATGGTGTCCTTAGAAGGACCCATGGTAGGACTCATCTAGGAAACCGACAAATCAAGGTCAGCGCCACAAAGGTCAGAAAGGATGAGACCATTCTGCCTGCCAAACCAGGAACTGATTTTCCCCTACTAGATCACAAATGAACTCCAACGACAACAAGTGACATCAAGAACAAGGAACGAACCTCCGCAAGCTACACCACAGACATGGGCTTCAGCAACACCTTCTGAGAATGGGACAGAGACTTTGTTCGTCGAGGACCTCTCATCTTTACCAGAACATGCGAGAAAGGGGAAGATTCAGACCCCCAAAACCTTTGCAGGAAAGGAAGCTTCTGTCGGCCAGGAGACTATCCAAGAACAGACGCCTGATGTCATCCTTACGGCACCCGTGTGCGGACCGTGGTCAGAACATGCGTAATGACTAAAAAGAAGGCTTATGGGAAGTGAAAGCGCTGTCTTCCTATGGTTGAACTCTTGGTATCCATTGTAAGATTCCAAGTGGCGCGCGGCAGAGGTTTCACTGTGGAGAACCCATCTCCGGAGCCTGAGTTGTAGAATCTCAGCTATCTAAAGCCAACAAGTTGGCCTCCGGCACAAATCGACCTCTGCTGGTGCGCATTGGTTCATTGTTCTCTGTTGCTTTTGCGCAAGTGAGTCGGGAGCAGCAAGCGGTTGAAATTCTCGATTAAGCGAAAGATCCTGAATCTTGACTTTAGTGCGGCTACGGGTCATGCACCGGTGGCTTCCATCTCCTTTCTGGGTGCGCTGCGCAGCTTCTCCGCAATATCTTCTAGACAGAAGCAATATAGATATACCTGAGTCAACCTAGGTCTGCTTGCGTGTGTTCCTGCATTGCCTTCAAGTGGTTGATGTGGGTGCGTGACCGAACTGGTGCAGTCGACGCCTTGTGAGTTACTCACGGCGTGTTGCGGCACTCTTGTTTCCAGTATGCCTCGCGCATTACCACCAAGCGATGCATGTGTACTCCTAGTGCAACCAACAGCACAAACTCCTGAACAAGCTCATCATCCCATGCCAGGCCCAAGGCCTACACCCAGATCACAGTATACCACTCCGAGCTCACCGCAGCCCACGCCTGACACACGATCGGTGCCAAAACAATGACTGACAGGTGTGCATCCAGACACTCCCGCGTCTCGCGACCGCCTCGAAAAAAAACAAGCAAGTGATGTCTCTTCGCCGACTCGACCAACTGTCGCGGCTCCCTCGCCATTGGCCGCTCAAAACGATCCAGCGCTGGGGGGGCCTGAGAAACAAGACGAACGAAGAAGAAGTCCGACGATCCGCGTAACACGCCAGAACAGAAGCATCCTCTTGCCCATCACAGGACCAGATTCCGACGATGATGACGAGGAGCTTGCCCCGCATGCGCTTACATTTTCTGGTGACACCAGGGAATCGCAAAGGACGAGACGCTATCTTGACGAAGACGACACAGGAGGCTTTCAGTTGATGAGGCATATTGGCGCGTGCGGTGAGGTATTGAATACGTACCTGGCCCTCAGAGGTAAAAGGTTCCCCCTTCACGCAACAGGGACACGAACAACGTAAATTACCTGTGCAAGAACATGATGGATGAAGACCGAGCAGTCCTGGCACTTTCTTCCTCACGGCAAGGATTTCTGGAAACCTCTGCGACATCCACGCTTCTTGGCAAAAGGTAAAGGGAGCTACGGCGTCAGAGATCAGACCCTACTATCAGTCCAGGCTGCAATCGAGTCTTTAACCTTGCGGGGGCCTGAGCTTCTTAATTGGTCACACACACAGGCTGATGGGTCACCACAAAAGCATGGGCACCTTAGAGGACTTCAGGAGAGACACATGGATCTCAAGGCAGTGTTCCTACAAGGAGCAGCCTGCGCCTTGTGTGTCAGTTTCCTTCTGAGATGGCCCGCCCTGTGTTACCGCAAGAGTAAAGAAGCCAGCCTGCGGCCACATTGACGCGCCGAGGAGATGGTGGATGGCGCCAAGTGCGCAAATAGATGCACAGAGGTCTGTTTCCATAAAGGTCGCCCCAGGACATTGTCAGCCAAAAGACATCAAATACGCAGGAACTTGAAGGAGCAATACTGCCCGAGGCTGAAAAGTTCATGGCGCTCGTCCACTGCGTGTTGGCGGTCTTCTTTGAAGACGACTTGCTCGACAAGGAAATCGTGGCCGAGCCTATCTAAATTGGCCCGAAGATCAAAATGAATGCCTTTTCGTCGCACAACGCGTTCCATGGAAGAAATGAAATGTAAACAACATGGTATGTCCACCGGAATGAACTTCAGGAGCTTCGACAAGAATATGCAAGACCAGACTCCTCTCACACGACAAACGCACACTGGTGCGCTCAATACCATATTCGGCAGCAATATTCCAGACATGTTTTACGGGCAGCCACACCAACTAGCGCCGATGTTCGTGCAATCAACAAGACGGTGAGAACCGTCAAGCGCATTCCTCTCAATATGCGCTTCTGGCAAGAAAAGTCGAGAATTCTGGGGTACCCTGATGCCTCGCACAGAAACAATAAAGAGAAGCCCCCGCGCCTCCATCTTTTTGGCAGATCCTTGACCGACTATGCGATGCTCGGCTCATGTTTCTTAAACCCTTGCGATCAGATATATCAGGCGGAATACCAGACGTTCATACTTATATATATATATACACGGAATGACGCCAACAGAGAAACCGCAAAAAAAAACTGCCCTCGCAGGCAACCTTGTGAGGCAGTTCTAGGAGAATGGCGCGCTCGCAGCACCATGTGCGGCCCCAACATCATAGGAGGCAATCTTCGCCCACTGGGACAGCTGCGCGTGATTCTAGCCATGTCGCGAGAACTTGTCGCGCAATCTGTTCAAGACAGGCACCTTACGCACGCTTGGTTTCCAGACAGCGCTCATGTCAGGTTTTGTGTGGCTGCAACAACGATCCAGAGCTCAAGTGGGATGAGTTGGTCTTCCGGCGTCCGTCCGGTTCCAGACTTGCTCACGGCAAAACCTACACAGCCAAGAGAGGAACTTCTCCTCTGAAATCATGGCAAGGACAAGGCACAGCACCGTTCGCACCATCATTGGGAGACACGTAGAATCGCAGGACGAAAAGCGAGCATCGTTTTCAAGGAAGAAGTTACGCGTGATTCAGTGCTACATCCAGCCCCAGATCCGGGCGAGATGCGTGTTCCTGCTTACGTGAGAAAAGACCTGCGTTACAGGTGAGATATGCCCGTGGCTAAGAGAACACTCTGGACGGAACGACCGCAGGGTCCTCACCCTGATACAATGCCAGCACACCATTCGATCAGAAGAAGAGACCAGCATTGATGGGACATCACCACAATTTTGAAGCTAAGAACAGATCAGTTCGTCTAACCGGCTGTAGTCTATTCGGCGCAGATGTGCAACAGCGCAGTGACGATGCGCGCGGGGAAAATCACAACATTTTTGGGTAGCCTTTTCCCGAAGTACAACAAGTCTAGGTTTCAACTGCTTCCGTGATTGGCAAGCAAAAGCTGGCGCGACGCGCTGATGGACCAACAATCTTCCACCAAACTATCAAGACGCCAGGAGCACTGTACTCATGCCAGACGGTCACAAGTGTCCCAATCAAGAGCGGGGTTTCTACATCCGACGCAGGCATCAGGAAGAACATCAACGTCGGCGACAAGTGGTCAAGAAGGGGGATTCCGAGAAAGATGCACCATCCAAGGACAAGATTCCTCCAGAACCGCCACTGCCTGACTGACGAAGTTTATGCAAATGATGCACCAGCCGTCCAAGCCCTTCAGCAGATTGTTTCTGCACCTTTCACGGCGCGTGCCACATTCAAAAGAGACCTCCACAAGATCCTGGAAACAGGCTTCCTGAAGCCAGGACAGCCCCTTCCAGATAAACGGCTTGCATTGAGCCACGACAAGAGAACAGATTCCAGCAAAGAGATTCATCCAGCTTCATGAGCTTTGAAGAATGCGTTCCTTCAAAACCAATGCCTGTACAATGACCAGAAGACGCTGTGGCAATGATCCCGGAGATCCGAAACGTGAGGTGCTCAAGAAGAACCAGCCGGAGTCGGGATGCCCGACCAGACTTCTGAAGAACTTCAACGAACCCACACAATCATGTCTTTTTAAAAAACCGCTCAACGAAGCACAAAGATGAGGGCTGTGATGATATATATCATCGTAGCATCCTCGGCATCATCAGTGCCGGCTAACAAGAGATGATGATGACCATGATGATAATGATGATAAGGATGATAAGGATGAGGACTGTGATGATAACTATCATCGTAGCATCCTCTGCATTGCCAATGGGGCCTAACGTTACTTTTGAAATGCATATAAGAATAAGAATAAGAATGAGATGATGATGATCATCATGATGATGATGAGAAGAGCGATGACATCATAATAAGGATGATCATGATGATGATTATGATGATAACTATCATCATAACACCCTTTGCATCACCAGTGCTGCCTAATAAGAGATGATGAAATTCCTTTGTCGCAGAGCTACGTGACCGACTCAGTTTTCCATGAGATAGGACGAGCCGTGTGAACACTTTCCTACAAGACATTGCCCCAGCAGAAAATCGGACTGGGCTGCCACCATTTGTAGGTTCTATTTTGAAGGCACAGCGTGGAAGATAACCCAGATTAGAAGGGGTTGCATTGCAACTACAGGACATTTCACAAGCTGGGGGTACAAAGAGGCCAAGGTTCACCAGGAGATCAGATTCGGTTCTACGACAAGCGCAATGGGATGTCACTACCGGGGTGGAACCCAACAAGGAGTTTGAAAACCATCATGGCAGATTATGAACGTTCTGATCAACGACATGTTCACAAACCTGGCCAACCATCAGTCGCAGTTGCCGCGCTACAGGTTCACCCAGCATACGCAAACATCACTGCGACATTATGCAAGGCGACTTCAACAGGACAGCCAACCCAAGCTCCATCCAGAACTCAAGATTAACATTGGGCGCGTTGCAAAGAAGAGTGGTCACACCTTCACTGCGCCACTCAAGAAGGCGCGTCGGCTGCTCTACAAGAAGAAAGGTGGAGGAGGGGACCGTCTTTGATGTGTCATTTCTGCTCCAGGCAGACATGCGACATCTCTCTCCTCTGCCTTCTCTGGGCTGGTGTCATCGAGTAGAAAACATAGGTTGCCATGCAATCAGGATAGATCGTCTTGTGTGATCCTCCGCAAGATGTCTCGGCGTGAAACCTTGGCAACTCCTGCGTGAGATCTGTTGGCTGGATCTCTATATGCAGAACCAGCACCAGATATCTGTGGAGGGTCTCGGCACAGGATCTCTGGGTAGGATCTCCTTCTAGGACACCCTCTAGAAGCGTTATGTTCAAGATCTGTAGGGAGAAGATCTCTCGCAAGGAAATCTTTGCTGATCCCGTGCAAGACCTCGACCGTTTTAAGATATTTGCGGGAGGGTCTTCAAAGGACCCCTGCGCGAAATGTGTGTAGGATCTCTTGGTCAAAACCTTTTGACTTTGCAAGTCCTGCGCAAGAATTCTTGGGAGGATCTCTGAAGTGACTAGTGCGAGGTATCTGTAGTTTTTACAGGATTTTCTGCGCAATGGCAAGATCTGCGCGCGTGATCTTTGGACAGGATCTATCGGTAGACCTCTTGGCAGATTTCAAATCCACAGGGCATAGATATCTTCCACGAAATAGCTGCGGTAGTTGTGTTTTCTTGGCCTAGGGCTGGCACTGGTTTTGTTCACGTCACCAGCTCCATGGACCTGGGGCCTAGGGTTGTCTAGTGGCTCTGATTGGGCGGTAGTGCAAGTTGCTTGTTGCCGGTGCGGCTTTAGGTTTGGTTCAGGGCGCGGATGGCAACGCTCCACACCCTAGAGCAAACCTAGAGCCACCGCTGAACCAGCGCGCCACACAAATCAATTTGAAGCCAACATCACACCTGCCCAAAGTCGGCCTTAACTCCACCCAACAGCAGCCTACATGCCAGCCGTTTGCTGAGCTTGAATCAACCCCCAATCAACCCAAGACCCACCCTCAGTAAGATCTAAGCCAGCAACTCTTAACTGCAAGCCAATCAGAGAGGCCCTACGTCCGAGTCCCAGTGAGGCTGGTGATGCCGGGGACGCGGCCAACCAACCAACTAGCCAGCCAGGGAATCTACGAAGAAAGCAGCCCTAGGAAAAAAAACGTCAGTCTGTTTTGTTTTACGTCTTCAGAGAGATTGACCTTCACGCAATCCCGTTTCCTTGACCAATTTGGCGTTTAGTTTTCGTTTTCTTGTCGCAGATCAAAACTGAAAAGCAGTAGGCGCGTGCCCCTCTGGAGATACAGTGCGTGTCAACCTTGCATTTCGAGAAGTAGATGCAAGGGACCAAAGTGTCCCGTTTATTGTTTTTGGGCCCTTGCCCCTGGTTTAAGGCTGGTAAAGGTACGGCGGGTCTAGGGTTGGTTTGAGGTGAGTTTAGGGTGGGGTTACGGGGCTTGCTTTCTAGGGGCCGAAAACAAAAAAGTACATCCAGCGGGCAAAAAACCTTGAATCATATATAGCGCCCGCGCAAGAATATGTGTCACCTCTAAGTTATGCCTCTTTGTGCTTCTCTTTAGTCGTCATTAAAAGAGGTCATCCATTCTCCACGCCCACCGCGCAACCTTTATACGCCTCCCCATCCTCCCCTGCTGGCTTGCTGCGTGGCAAGGTCTCTGCCAAGGCTCGGCCAAAGTTTCCAGAGAGAACCTGGAGTTTCTCGCGAAGGCAGCGTTCCTGGCCAAGCCGTCAAGCCAGCGTCAGAATCACACCGTGCCTCATGGCGGCGAATCCATCACTGCTGCACGGCTCGGGTAAAAACAAGACAATCAAGCTAAAACGACACCTATGCCCAGCCAAAGGCCAAGGGGCCTACCAAGGGCAACCGTGAATAGCCTACCCAGCCTGATGTGCAAGGGCTCGTCAGACCTGGGAAGGCCACGGGAAGGGCGAACTCTGTGTCCAAGTAAAACGACCTGCTCAGGCAACTGCTTTTTCAGAATGGGCAACAAACAACTGTGGTGAACAATTTCGAAGATCTTGTGCAACATGCGCTCCAGGGTCTATGTGCCACAAGCGAAGGCAGTTGGGAAGGACACAGCAAATGTGCCAAGCCAAGAAGTAAATGAATCTCGCGCTATCTATACCAGCTATGGTGATTACACTCCTGCGTAGTCGCTTGGAACCCAACAAAAGCGAACCATTTTGTTAGACAAACCTTGCGGTATCCATGTTAACAAGACTACCCTCCTACCAAACCCTGTAAGCGCACAGGCCCCTTTCAGAACACTACTTCTTCAGAAAGAAGCCGGCCAAGACATAGATCCGCCCGCAACAAGTACGCAAGACGGGTCAATGTGTTCGATGCGTTCCCAAAACAAGTATCCGATAGCTTCAACAAATCAAAATAGGCTTGTGAGTTATGAGCAAACTACCCGGGCATGTGTCGTCAAAATGGTGTTCGTTTGTTTGATTTCCCTTTAAGCCACAAAAACAAACGCACAAATATCCAGAGATTTGATTCTCGCGTTGAGTCCTAGTCGCGCCAGCGTCTTAAAGTCCTCGAAGCTGAGCAACTTCGAGCCGTCCACACTCCGCACAGGCGGCCACCTCTCAAAAAGGAGGGTCGGGAAGTTCCCATCTCAGTCAATTTTGAGGGAGCCCTCCTAAGACTTCGGAAATCGAGTGACAGACAGCAGAGTTCAACGTGGTCAGATGGGGAAGGGAAACAGCCAGGTGACTGCTGTGACGCCTGACCTAGACATCGCGTTGCAATGCCGCGCTCTCTTCGGCACCCTGCCTTTGCACGCAGGATGCAACGTACTGCATGTAAAGCACTCCGCGTTGCTGGCTTCAATTTCAAAGCATGGTGCGTGTGTCCCATTCTGCAGGCAGCATGCGCTGGGCAACCCGGACTCGAAAACATCCTTTCGGCCCAACGTCTCTCCTTTGAAAGGGCGACTGCCCCTGCTGGACGCTTTGAGCTCTCATGACAAAGCTGCGGGGACGTGGGGTCGCACAAGCGACAAGGAGATTGCCAGGCAACCTGCGTCCATAACGACCAAGGCTCAAACGGCCCCTATCCCAAGACATATAACACCAGGCTGCTGATTCAGGGCTTCTTGCTGGGAAACACCGCCTTTTGTTGGCTGGGAGACTAACAAGAACTTGATGTACTCCGGATCATCACCCCAAATGCATTGCAGCCCCCAGCGCGAAAATCAACTGAATTCCCCTTCCTTCACAGACCCAATGTATCTGAGATGGATTGTTGAGACTACGCACGTCCCGGGTTGTTTTCACCTGGCTCTGGTTGCGCAAAGGGTATAGCAGGGTCTTGAAAAATATGTAGATTGCATGAAGGCCAACAGGGAAAAAGCAGACACAAAACAGTCACAGATTTATTTGATCGTCAACATCAAATTATTGCGCCATAGCCAAATTTCATATGTGCTCAGGCCGTTGGAAGTTAACTTGATTTCGAATCGTGCCAAAATAGTCACTGCTCTTTCGTGATACGGATTTATTGACTCGTGTACAACTGTACTGTTAAATTCGCAAGCTTGGGCCTTCACGCAAAGGTTCGTACCTAGTTGTGCCTGAAATGGTTGCATCCGAAGATGTGACGCGCGGCTTGGAAAGAAAGGACAGGGCCGGACAGGATTGTCCTCTGTGAAACTATCGACTCTTCACTCCAGGGAAACAGTCTTGTAGGCGATGAGGTTGATGTCGCAATCATACAAGTCTTGTAGACGATGAGGTCATGACAGCCGATCTATGGGAATGTCGACTGGCCGTTCATGTCGTTGCGCGCGTCAGAGTTGCGAACTTGATTGGCAGCTGCCTAATGCAAGACAAGGAGGAACACCCAGGAACACCATAACTGAAAGGAAGTCCTCTGGGAGGCGGTAGTCAGGAGGGCTCCAGTAAAACTGACCCCTATGGGTAATAACCAGGTTCACCAGACTTGCTTAACAACAATCATGTGTTTTTAGTTTTGCGACTTTGTGCGTCTGACTTGAAGAGGTTGATTTTGCCCCCTTGCAACAGATCATGCTGCGATTGGCCCCAGTGATCGTGGCGTCCCTGGATGACCGTCAGAGTTCCCCCGCGCACTGTAACAGCCGTACAGGCTCCAGCTCTTGCGGTTGTTCGGGGTGCCGTTTTGGTCCTGGTCTTGGATCAGGCTGGTGGATGCGTCCTAGGCAGGCTTGATTGTGGGTGCTCTGAAAACAAACTGAGAATGGATGTGTTCGATGGCGCGCCACGTTCTGGGCTCAAAATTTTGATGCAGCTCTGTGCGTAGCCAAAGCACAGCACCACCCCAAGTGGAGCGTGTCGCGCATGGTCAAGAGGCTCAACATGTTTGCGCTGTTTGCAAGCCAACCAGCATCAGCCCAGTCGCATGGTTCTCTGCTGCAGCGATGTAGCCTCAAGTGTCGAGCAATCGGCTCATTGCACATTCATCCGGAGGGTCGTGCTAATCAAGTGTGGTTGATGGTTTCGTGATCAATAACTTCGTTCTAATTAGGAGGATTCCTCCGCATAGCGGTGGCTATCCGGTCCAATGCGAAGTTGACAGTATGCTGAAATCATTCCGGGGCCAGGGCTTTATGGCAATGTGTTGGGGATCATCCAAACTCTGCGAGAGCCATGGTGTTACCCCAAAGCGCCCATACCATGACTGGTGGGATCCAACAACCTTCTTCCGAAGTTGTTTGGATTGCTTAGGGATTTGAACCCTGGTTGATTCAACCCACAAACGATGCAGCCCTGCAACCAAAACAAGGTGCTGCTCACATGGGGTCTGCAGGCTCATTTGGGAAAATGCCCTAGTTGATTTCGTAGATGGCCTAACCGATGTACAAGCAAAACAGAAACCCATCCTTTTCAATCGAAAGAGCAGTTACCACGCGGTAGGGTTATCTTGGGGTCTACGGTCAACGGAGCAGGTCAACAGAGCTCAAGGCAAATTCTGCAAGTGAGCCAACGTTCGATTTGGGCTCAGGCTTGGAAGTGGGCAAAACAAGTCTCGAACTCCAACACCAGAGCCCCACGGTTGCATTGCTTCCTCTGAAGAAGCCCTGTGTTTCATCAACTTAACATGGAACCCGGAAAGGGCGTCCCCAGAAGGAGATTCCTTCAAATGGCTTTTGGAGTGCCAAGTTGATCCGGGGAGTAACTGGCACACAGTTCTGGTTGCACAAATCACGCGTCCACACACCCACCCAGTGCTAGATATTTTGCGCAGAAAATGTCTTTCCGAAAGGAATGAAAAGAAAGGAAAAAGCTGGACAGGAAACTGAACATAATTTGAACTAATACAGAAAAGCAATGGAAGGAACTGGAAAGGAAACTGAAAAGAAATGGCAGGCACCGAAAATGACTGGAAAAGAAAATTCAGAGGAAGACAGCAAACGGAAGATAAATGCAATGGAAATGGAACGGAATGAGCAAGAGTGAAAGACACAGTAGAGATGCGGGACGACATGGCACGACGCGGAAATGAACAGACGAGGAAATGCAAAGCATCGGAGAGAAATGAAAAGGAAAGGGATGGCATGCAACTGGAAAAGGAAACCGAAAAGAGATGGAACGGCTATCAAATTGTTTTCTGGCGAAACGAGTGTTTTTTGCGCCTGGCCTAGCGCTGGGCACGTGCAGCCAGGAATGCCTGGAAATGAAAGAGAATGAAGGGAATGAGAAAAACAAGAAAGGGAGCAGACAGAAATGGGGCGGAAATGAAAGACGTGGCAAGATCAGAAGAATGAACTGGAAATGGCAAGCAAATGGAAAGGAAGAGGAAAGGAAGTGGCTGGAGTTGAGGAACTGAAAGGAAACAGAAAGGACAAGGACGAATATTGAAAAATATAACACGTAGATGGAAAGGAACTGTGGTGAACGGATGTCAAAACGACATGGAAACGGAATGGAAATGGCTAAAGCAAATGGAAAGGAACTGGTAAGGAAATCTGGTGCTATTTGCTTCTTCTGACGCAGGCAGTTGTGACACGAGCAATTTTTTAGGCCCCGGCTGGCCTTGGGCACTTCTAAAAACGATGCCTGGCGCTAGTAAGTTCTTTCTGTGGGACGAGCACTTTTCGGCTGATGGCCTTGGCGACTTCTAGCTAGGAACGGAAATCAAAAACAAAGAAATGGAAGGCATATGGAGAGTAAAATTGAAAAAATGGAAAACAGATTGCAGGGACTGGGGAGAAAGTGGAAAGGCAATGGAAAGAACACGGACGCATTGTAAAGGACTTTGGAAGCAAATGAAAAAGCACCCGGAAATGAATGGAAAAGAAACGCAAAAGCATGGAAAGGAAATGGAAACGGAAGAAAACGGAAGGACACAAAAATGAACAGGCTGGAACTGTAAGTGGTTGGAAAGCAAATGAAAGAAAACATAAAACACAAATGAAAAGGATATGCAAAAGGAAAGGTAACGGGCATGACATACTGACAAAGCAACAATTTAACATACGCAAGTAAGTTGATTGGAAAGGACATGGAAATGGAAGGCCAATGGAAAGAAAATGGACGGGAAGGAGGAACAAAGCAGAACGGAACTGGTGGCTGGAATTTGATGATGTAAATGATGATGAAGATGATTATGAGAATGAGAATGAACATGCCTATGAAAATGGTGATGACTCGGTCGACTTCCTACCTGGTTGAGCCTGCCAGTACTCAAGGCTTAGGCCAGCAATCTCCGAGGTCTGTTGCAGTTATCCTTATCCTAGTTAAATAGCATAATTAGGACCATTAGGATAGTACTCAAAACAGCAAGAAACCCCAAACGGGCGCCAGAGGCAGCGACCTGAACAAGAAGTGGGAGATGAATGATTATTAATCCCTCCAATTTCAGCGGGCGAAGCACTTTTTCTTCGCGCCTTGGGCTAAATGGGCGATTGACCTATTCTACGAGCATGACACTTTACCATGCCAATGAGGGCTTAGGGGTTGCGTTTCTTGACTCCTCCCATAAGGAGTTCTAAAAGAAAGAAGGATACATGAATCTGTTGGCGCCCTATGCAGACTGATGATGACCTCATGAGCCCAATCTCCTGCCTGGTGCTGAGTCGGCCATAGCAATGAAGAAAAAGATGCAGAAATAGCATAACATTAAAGACAAAGAAAGAAGAGAGAGAGAGAGAGAGAGAGAGAGAGAGAGAGAGAGAGAGAGAGAGAGAGAGAGAGAGAGAGAGAGATCGAAGAAGTGATGATTCAGCAAAGGGTGCGTTAAGCGTAAATATTCTGGAAATCAGCGGTGGGGTTGGGGGGGGGGGGGGCGGCAGCCCCCCCCATGAACAACGGGTGCGTTAAGCTCTGTAGCATTCTACACACACATTTCGTGGCAAGCGCAGGACTTTTGCAAGGTCAGGTACAGATTTCGCAGCAGGCGCAGCACTTTCGCAAGGTCAGGTACAGATTCGCGGCAGGCGCAGCACTTTCGCAAGGTACGGCACAGATTTCGCGGCAGGCGCAGCACTTTGGCAAGGTCAGGCGCCGTTTCGCGGCAGGCGCAGCACTTTCGCAAGGTACGGTGCAGAGTTTGACGCAGGCGCAGCATTTTCGCAAGCAGTGAAGAAAAAGATGCAGAAGTAGCATAACATTGAAGAAAACGAAAAAAAAAGAGAGAGAGAGAGAGAGTGATCGAAGAAGTGATGATTCAGCAAAGGGTGCGTTAAGCGTAAATATTCAGCTCTGTAAGCATTCTACACACACATTTCGTGGCAAGCGCAGGACTTTTGCAAGGTCAGGTGCAGATTTCGCAGCAGGCTTTCGCAAGGTCAGGTACAGATTCGCGGCAGGCGCAGCACTTTCGCAAGGTGCGGCACAGATTTCGCGGCAGGCGCAGCACTTTGGCAAGGTCAGGCGCCGTTTCGCGGCAGGCGCAACACTTTCGCAAGGTACGGTGCAGAGTTTGACGCAGGCGCAGCATTTTCGCAAGCAGTGAAGAAAAAGATGCAGAAATAGCATAACATTAAAGAAAAAGAAAGAAGAGAGAGAGAGAGAGAGAGAGAGAGAGAGAGAGAGAGAGAGAGAGAGAGAGAGAGAGAGAGAGGTCAAACTACACGCTTCACTTCCTGCATTTGTGTTGCATGTATGTTCACTACTGCAGGCCTTGAGCTCACTACATTGCATGAGTCAAAAGGTTGGCAGCTGCAGACTACATTGGTTGACTGTTTGTTTGAACAGTACAGCACTTGCACTTGTAACAACAGTAAGGACCCATTTTAACGCGGTAGCGGAGCTGAGATTCTAAACATATGGGAGCTCCAGTACTCAGCAGTAAGTACTACAACCACAGCAACAGCAATCACATGCCAAACTACTACGACATGCCAGGAGAAGCAGCATCAGCCTCAGCACAACAAACTACAGGAGCAGAGAACGGGCCAACAGCAGACACAGTGGGGGCCACGAATGCGGGAGCAGGAACAGAGCAAGACAACGACGTTCAGAGACTACATCGATACAAACTGCCACCACCCTTCTTCACTGGTGACTACTCCCAGTATGAAGAATGGCTGTTCAAACTACAAGCATACCTCGGCCTCATAGACCGAGACGTCGACCTGGTGCTACAGCTAGCACAAGTGGCTACACGACAGATTGAGGACACAGACATCAGAACACACATACTTGACCCTACACAAGCAAGCAAAGCAGTAGACCTCTCCAGAGATCTACACTACATCCTCGTCAACATCTGTCAGGGAGCAGCAGCTACAGTAGTAAGGCAAAACCGCTACAACGCAAATGGATGTGAAACACTGAGACTCCTACACAACAGGTTCAGCCTACCAGTAGGAACAAGAAGCGTTGGCTACCTTACCAAACTACTGGAACCTACATTCAACGAAGCGCAGTTTGAAGAGCAATTCCAACAATGGGAATACGACATCAACCGCTACGAGAAAGACAACGGCACAGCACTACCAGATGGAATCAAAATAGCAATACTACTCAACAAGACCAAAGGAGCACTGCAGCAACATCTCCAACTGCGAGCTGGACAGATCACGAACTACATCGAGATCAGAGCAGAACAGTCATCCTGGACTACTACAGCAAGTACAGAAGCAAAGGACACTACAAGGGATTCGACAAAGGCAACAAAGGAAGCTACAACAAAGCAGGGTACAACAAGAGCAAAGGAAAAGGCTACTCAGGATCCAAAGGATCTGGATCAAGCAAGGGCTACAAAGGCCAAGGAAACTACAGCAAAGCACAAGGAAAAGGAAGCAACAACTACACGACATGCCACCGATGTGGCAAGCCTGGCCATGAACCACAAGACTGCAGAGCGCCTATAGGAGAAGGAGAAGAACTACGTCCACTAGAACAAGAACTCAGGATGTGAACGACACCTGGGACTGGTACTACGAAGGAGGAGAAGGACAACACGAGGTAAACTACATGGA